GTGTGTGTGTGTGTGTGTGTGTGTGTGTGTGTGTACAATAGTGCAGATGGTCAAATGGAAAAAATTCTTGATGCTTGGAAAAAAATGTAATGATGAATGTAAATATTCTGGAATGAATTCCAGAGGTAGGAAATAAATTATACAAAAGTGAGAGAGAATGGTGAGAGTTTTATAGCTAAAGTCCCAATCTATTGTTTAAGTTGTTCCTTGAAATACAAATGATCTATTAAGTACCATGATTCAAATGACTTTATATCCACAAATTAAATCAATTGTAACCCATGAGCTCATGTCTTGATTGATGCAAGAGTAATGAAAGACACATTTACCACTTTAGAAAGGCATTCCTATGTACACGGAATACTTCTCATGTTTCTGGCAAATTGGAGGTTTTGGTCTAATTCAGCCATACCTCAAACAAGAAAGAGTTTGTGGTGACACCAGCACAAAACTGGTGCCATTCTGTGAAATTTTGGAATACACGAAAGACAAGTCTGGAGCCAGAGAATTTAGGATGCACAGGCATAAAATTCCTGAAATAGTGCAGGAAGCAAGGCAGATCAGTCAAACTGATAGAAGATCCAGGTCTTTAAACGCATTTCAGTTCCATCCTATGGTCACCAATGGTCCAGGTGACAGGATCCTCCCATTCGCGTCTCCATTCAGCAGTGTTCTCCAGCTGATGCTTCCCAAAAGTTCAATTTCAAAAAAAGCTTACTCCAAAAGGGTGTGGGCTGCAGATCTGCAAACCCTGTTTCTGAAATAAAGAAAAAAAACCAGGCCAGCTTCAGAACTGGTGTAGATGGTACCCTTCCCCTTGGACAATAAAACAACCAAACTAATGTGGGGAAGTCTTGTGCCCCATCAATGCATATCCTGTTATTTTACCTCGATTATTTCATCTCTTTTTTCATAATGGAATGCATGCCATCCACTGCTTCACTAAGAAAAAGCGGGGGATGGAACCAAGGACCCTAGATATTCCAGACATCACACTGAAACAGAAAAAAACTATGGTGATTCTTGGGTGACTTATTTTCGCCTCCCTTTGCAGGCCCTGGAAGATTTAAAAAAGCTTCTCAAAAAGACAAAGGGAGAAGGAAGTGCTAGAAAATAGGATGTTTCAGCAGCCAGAAAGTCAATAGCCACATATTTTCCTTGGATCATTCTGTCCAAAAGGATGCTACATGGAATTCTAGAATGCTGTGCCTCTTTCTCCTATCCTTTCAAATGCATCTGGTTTTGTGACGAGGAAATATTGATGGGAACCATGGCAGGGCTATACATGAATATCCAGGTCATCTCCGTGTAATTGTACAAACACATCAGATCTTGTCCAGGTAGTCCTCAACTTACGACCACAATTGGTCGTAATTTATGTTGCTAAGTAAGAAATTTGTTCAGTGAGTTTTGCTCCATTTTATGACTTTTCCTGCCACATTTGTTAAGTGAATCATTGCAGTTGTTAAATTAGTAATATGGTTGTTAAGTGAATCTGGCTTCTCCCATTGACTTTGCTTGTAGGAATGTCGCAAAAGGGAATAACATGATCCTGGGACACTGCAACCATCATAAATATGAGTCAGTACTTCCGGTTTGCCATCG